CATGAGAACACCTTGTCGTAATGATGTATCACACTAATAATATAGTAATACCTCACTGGAGTGACAGAACTATGGTGATATATTAACGTGATAGAAAGCACTATAATGCTATAAAACTTAAGATAATGTTCACCCAGCAGAGCATTTCATTTAATTATAGGATAAAATATGTTTTGCCCATTTAAGCATCAGAACTTGGGGACAAAGCCATCAATACTGAGATCATCCGGGACACTGCAGTATCAAGGGTGACAAAACAGCACATCAGATTAAATTGTGTTAAAAAGAAAATACTGTGCGCTTTACTTATGGTTGCTAATTGATGATCTGCTCAGTGCAGAAAGGAAGCGAAACAACACTAAACTATTTTCCAATAGAGTCAATGAAGGTCATCAAGGCTTTTATTTCCCAGGTGCTAAACTGTCTAATTAACTTTCTCCCATCCCCGAGATGGAGCCAGCCAGAAACAATAATCAAAGAAGATGTATTGGTGGTACAAGTTTCCCGATGGGAGACCAGCCCGAGCGATGCAGCAGGCACGTGTGCGGCCGCGCGCCCCTCCGATCTCCTGGCATCAGCGGGGGCTGCGGGTCTCCCCCCCGGGCAAAGCAGCCCCCCAAAGCGGTGCCCGAAGGTGGGGGGCTTTGCAAGGTGCAGTTTTACCCAGGATGCAGTTTTACCTGGAAAGGTGTTTGTAAGAGGCTGTGGGTATGAATGCGTGTGTCTCTCTGGGGATGTGGCTTTGGGCCACTTACACTGGTTAAGGGGTTTAAGACCTCATCAGTATTAACCACTTTTAAACAGGTAACTTGTTAATATTTTCAAACTGTTTTTCTCTGGTCCTTCCTCTTGGTCATTCGATTTGTTTCTTGTCCTGTGCCAGGCTGGGTAATTCCTTCAGGCGTTTCCTCAGGCTGGTACCTCCACGTTTGTCTTTTTCCTGCTGGATTGGCCATATCCTTCGCTGTTCGTTCAGCTCTTGCCTGGCTCGGACTGTTTTCTGGAGGCTGACAAACCTGCTTAACAGGCAACGAGATGTAGGACAGATCACTTTAAAGGAAAACATGTATGTTTAGGGCAAGTAGAGCAGAATTTAAACTCGGATGACTTCAGTGATTTGCCTTTCCGCAAAGCCAGGAAAACATGGTGGTGTTACATTAAATACCACTGGATTTTACTGGTTATACAACGTGGGCTGTCATTAACTTCCTGTGACTGGACTGCACTTTGGCAAAACCTCCTTCTTCATCAATAAAATAATTCCCCTTGAAAAAAGACAAACTTTTATCATCTTTAAGCACCGTGAAGACCGTGTGAGGAAATAATTGGTGACTGCAAAGCAGCCATGGGATCTCCAAGAGAGTAGCCTTGTTCAGACACTTGCTGACGTAGGCAACGTTTTTGGGGTGGTTGGCAATGAAAGAATCAAGAACAGGAGGGACAATCCTTATGAAACATTTGAGAGGAGAAAACCGATGTGGTCCAATAGGAGAACATTTGGTGGAAGAGCCTTCCCAGGTCCTGTGGGAAGAGCTCACCTGGCTGTGCTGTGAGGATGAGGAGGAGTGGGGAAGAGCACGGACTTCAGGTGGTGCCAGGTGGATTGGGCACGCTCCTGGGCAAGACGGCAGGACTTACACAATTACGTCGCTAAGACTCCCAAACACGGTGCCCAAAGAAGGAGCATATTGAAATCCTGCTCATGGCAGGCCCTTCTTGTGCTCCCCTGAGCCAAGGAGTGGTGTTACCCTGGGAGTATTTTGCACTGATGCTGAATATCCCTGTGAGCACTTGCAGTATGGATCAGGCAGAAACCTCTCACTATTTCATCTTGTTCATTCAACTTTCATATGTAGCCAAAGGATAAGTTCTCATCATCCGCCTTTCCCAGAGATCATCATCTGGGGCTGTGCTGGCAGTGTTGAAGCAGGCGACTTCGCTTGAAATGCTGAGTTGTTGAGTTGGTGAATTGCTGCAACCACTCAGAAGGTTTTAATAACAACGGCAGGTGTAATTTACTGATATTATAAAGCATTTGTATGGCATCTTCAGTTTCTAAGGTAGGCTCAGGTCTTACGTGAGCACACTGGAGCTGCTATTTAAAATGTTGGTCAGTGCAGCACGTGGTGATGAGACAGAGACGCTTCCCATCTCATCTATTACCGGGCAAATCCAGACAGAAAGCACCTGCCAGGCTGCAGCTACGTTCCCCACAGCTGCCTGTGGAGTCATCTCGAGCATCAGCCTCTGCTCCGTGTTTTCTCCCCTTTTATCGCTCAAGAAAGACCCATGGGCAGCAGGATCGGTGCTTCGCTGCAGGACTCCCATTACCCGAGTGCTTCACCCCCCACTGTCACCCTGTGGTTGAGACCCCTGGCTGCCCCGGCGGGCTCGCTCTGGAGAGGAGCAAAATAACAAAAGAAGAATTAAGGCATCAAAGGCAAAATATCCCAAAAGACAAAAATCCGTAAATGTCTTAGGAGCGCAATGGAGCTTGCACTTGTGAGTTAGATGGGATTTTTTGGGAGTAGTCACTCTCAGGTTTGACGGTTGGACAGGCTTGAAGGCTGGAACGGCTGCTGCTGAGGCTCCGCTGCGCTCGGCAGAGTAGATCAGGTGTTAGGCAGTGTGCTAGATCCAGACACGTGTTTGGGGTTATTATACATAGATGACACATCTAATAGATGCACTTAATGCATTTTTCATAATACCTGTGTTTGTTTTTCAGCTCATTTTGTCTCCCTCCAGCCCCCGCCCTGCTCCCTTCCTTGGGAAGGATTTGATTTTTGCTCTGCTTATTTTTCCCACCACATTAGGCGATAACATGTAAGAGCAGAAATCATGTTGCCTTGTGGGCATTAGGCCAACTGTCTGAATACAAGCTGCCAAATGTCATTAAAAAAGAAAGTGTCTAGGGCACTAATTATGTACGTGGTAGGAAACATTTTGGAAACAGGAGAAGGAAAGTAACTTGCACTGCCCATTTGGGACCTCTGGAATATTTCTTCTGTCTGTCATGGAGAGGGCTTGTCTTTTTTTGTCTTTTCCTTTATATACCTCTTTCTTTTTGCAAGGCAAGCAGCCTCATTTTCTGTGTTGGTGCTCAAATACTAATTCAGATGAGTTGCGTGGTTAAAAACATGCTGTCAGGCTGAGAGCACTATCTTGCTCGAGGCTTGGCTCGTCAAAACATCAAACGGCTAAAAACAAATAATGTGAATCTGAGCCTTCAGCTGGGCTGGAGATGCCCAGGGGGGTCATGCCCAGGTTGTTCCAGCCTCGTGCGCAGGGCAGCTCCCTTGCTGGGAGCCTGGCACGGCGTGAGCTGAGCTCGGTGGTGGATAGGATCCCCATCCTGTGGTTGGGAACCCCGCGCCTGGGAGAGACGGTGAATTGGTGGGAGAAGGAGGAGGTGATGGTTACGACTTTAAGCTCTGCAGGCTGCCCTCCTTTCCACCCCTGCTGCGCCAGCACAGCAGTTTGGAGGGGAAATTACTGGAAAGCTAAAGAGATGTTTACTGTTCTGCACCATCTTGCAAAGGGCTTTGGGGGGCAGAAGAGCAGATCCTGCGCCGGGGGGACGGGATGGGGCAGCTTTGCCCCCCACTAGCATCAGCTGTATGGTGTGGGCTGCTGCAGCTGAATCTGCCTGGGGGTGAATACCTTTGGCAAATGGACTTCGGTGAGATGTAAAGTAGCAGAGGTCTTCTTTTGATACACAACACCTTGGCTAGAAGTGTAACTCCATGACCAGCTGGGAGCAAAGCACACTCATCCTTGGCACCCATCCCAAGGAAGACGGGCAGCACGGGGGCAGCCAGAGGATTCGGCACACCTATACCTGCAACCAGCATCACTGAGGGAAGGCAAAATCGCCTTCAGGCACTGTATCTGTATCTGTGGTTACTACTTGGAGTGGGACCCTGTTACATTGTTTTAACTTGATTTTCAATGTTTAATTATTCTAACTGAGATAACCCGAACTCCCAGTGTGATTTACTGTCTCTTTTTAAGCATCTGGGTCACAGATATGCTCAGTTAATTAACGTGCTGAATACTCCTTATTTGTCTGCTGGATAATGGATCGATTCATAATTTAAATAAGCAGCTGTGTATATCTTTCCCTTGAACTATAAAAGGCAGGCTGCTGCCATTCATCTCTTTTCACTCCTGAATTTAAATACGTTTAGGGAAATATTTTGGTGGGATTCCTTAAATACTGCAAATGGCGGAGCCCTTTGTGTGTGGACCTGCCACGGCAGCAGGGCTGTGTTGGTGCCAGCTGTGTGCTGCCTGCCCAATGCCCCCGCGAGCCATCGGCCTTGCCCGATGCTCCCAGCCTGCATCTCCTTGGCAGCCGAGATGGATCCCTGGGATCCCTGGGCGGTCGGATGCGGGGGGTATTGCAGGGAGCTGCAATCCTAAGCCTTTGCTTCAGTGCTGAACCATGGGGGAGATTTGGGCTTGCAACCCCAGGGAATGGGGCCAATTATATATTGGCCCCCTTTGGCTGACGTTGCTGCCCGGCTGCTGTTGGAGTTGCTGGAGGGCTGTGCCAGACATACCAGCAGCATCATTCGCAGGCCAAAGCAAGGTTGGCTCACCAAACATGCGAGAAGCCACAGGCTGGGCCAGCATGACTGGCCAAGCCAGCTGGCTCTGGCTGAAAACCAGGAGAAATCATCCATTGCCACAGCCTACAGAGTGTTCAGGCCCAAAGGAGGCTGGAGGAGTCTGCCCCACGATGGATTTAAGGCTCAGAGTTATTCTTATGCCTTCCCTGTGGCCCAGCTCCTCACCTGCATCTGCAAAAAAACCCCAAAACAACAAGAAAAAAAGGCTGGAGAAAGTTGGTTGTTTACCTCTTGTCAGTTCTACTTCCTCTGTGCACCATCCTCACAGTTTTTTTTCTGGGGCTCTGCAAACTTGGCCTTTATCACTTTTTAATGATGTTCTGGAAGATACTAACAGTCTTTTTCCTCTCCTTCCCTGCCCCCCAGCTTGCACGCTACACCAAGGAGGGATTCCTTCATCTCGGTGCCCTTGGGACCACGACTCTTCTACCCGATACCCGCTGCCTGGTGGATAACGTGAAAAGCCGCTTCCCTCAGCTCCTTGATTGTGAAAAGGTCAAGAGCAGCCTCCATAAGCGCTGGAATTTCATACAGGTTTGTTACGGGTCTGCCATCGATGCTGCTCCTCTGCTTCCCAAACCGTGGGCTGTGGCACATCGTCTTTGGCGTGAGACAGTGTGGGACGAAGACGAAATAGTCCCATGCGACAGCAGGTGCCAGGTCCTAGGGCAGAGGGAAAAGGTTAAGAGGGATCAGGGGCAGGGACAGTATTTTAGGACAATTTCCAGAAGAAGTTTCCCTTTCTGATACTCTCAGGTGTATGTAACTTGCCCTGCCGATGACTTCCAGATTTTTTTGTTTCTTATAGATAATCTATGGTGAAATACATGAAAACACAGTATTTTAGTCCCAAAGCAGAGTGTAAATAATATACATTCCACAGAAGCATCACATATTCCTAACGCAGGGGTACAGCCATGCTATTTAAAGGTTACAGATGTCCTTTGGTTGCTGATGTGTTAGGGGTCCATGTTGTCAGTGATAAAAAAGTTGCTTGTTCAATTCACATTGATTATTTTAGGAATTATTTTATTGTTTGAATTGCATTACCCCTCAGCTCAGTGCTGTGCACTTTCCAGCAATGCACAGGGACACAGCTGCACTTCTGGGCAGTGCGCGGTCCTGGCTTGCTTCACAGGCAACCCCATGTCTTTAATTTTTTTAATATTTTCCCCATATCCTGTAATTTTAGAACGGTGCCATCCTGAACAAGGGAACGGGACGATGCTTGGAAGTGGAGAACAGGGGAATGGCTGGCATCGATCTGATTCTTCGCAGCTGCACAGGACAAAGGTGGACGATTAAAAATTTCATCAAGTAAAGGGTGGAAAAGTCAGAGGAGTTTGACTCGAAACACAGCTGACTTGGACTGATCCGGCTGGACTCCTTTGGAAAGGATGAAATATCAAAACAGAGCTTTATTCATGTTATTAGGAGAGGACATGGGGGAAATGGGCATTTGTGTCTTTTTATTTTTATTGTATATTAGTCTCCCACAGCTGATTCCAGCTGTGTGAAATTGGGTCAGAACTGCTATTTTCTTCTGACAAGCACTCTAAAAGGTACCACTTATTTCTGCTGGAATGACTGTAATAAGCTCATGCAGTCTTGTGAGCATTTTACTGACAGGGAATTGATGCTTTCCCAGATGACTCCAAGCTCTCCCAAAGGGCCACGTAGATTTGCACCACGATCGGAGTCGAGAGACCCTGGCTATACCTGCCTGGCAAGCATAAAAACTTACGTGCTTGTCAGAGGAAAAGGTTGCCAAGCCCCAGATGAGCTGAGTTTGAAAGATGTGGTGTTTTGCTAGGTCCTCTCTCTCTTTTCCCCTTCTTGCCCCTGCATCCAGCAGCCCCTTTCTTGAGTCTGGGAAAGGCAAAGCTCTCAGAGACACCCCCGGTAGCTCCCATGGATCACAGATGTCATTGAACAAAATCCTATTGAATAAAAACACTCATCTCCCGTCGCTCCCTCTCCATCGCCCATGCGCTGCTGCGCAAGCCAGCCCATGCAGCACCAGTCCCTCCCATGGAGACCCCAAATAGGTTCCCCTTGGAAAAGACCTGGGATGTATGCCCGCCTGTTTGGGCAGTTGCCTGCCCTTTTGGGTATTGGTCAGACTCACGTGTGGTGAGGAGGGTTTGCAGGATGTTTCCTTCCCTGCAGGAGCCCAGGGAGCTGCAGATCCACTTTGCCCTCCCAGCAGAGCTGCTGGCCTGGCACTGTCCCCTTGGAGACCCACCTTCGCTGGTTTTTTTGCTCTTTTCTTGTAGAAGTGAGGATGGATGTGCTGGTGTGTGCAACAGGCTGAGAGCAGGTAACGTGAGAGAAAGTCCCTCTCGGGCTTCCCTCCCATGGAGGCTGTAGGGTTTGTTTTTAAGGCTTTCTTGCTCTGGATGAAGACCTTAATAATAGTAGTCTCTGTAACTTTGTAGTGGTGTAGTTCTCTTCCTGAGGCTCAAGCACACCTATCCTGCCTGGTCAGTGTGAGACTGTGGTCAAGGTCCACCCCGAACAGCGCACATTGCTGCAGTCCTTCGTAGGCGATGGTGAAGTAAGGAAGGGAGAGGGAGGGCAAGAGACCACTAAATGGCGGTTTGGCTGAAATTCTTGACCTTGAAGTCGCTTGAGGCTTGTTAATACGGTGGGGTGATCTCACCTGCTTTTTTTGGCCCACAGTAATCTTGTCTACCAAATCTACCCAGCCATCATGGGAGACCGTTGGTTTGGGGTCCTGATGTCTGGCTAACTGGCAAAGGGAAATGTGGTCTTGCAAGGTTGTTTTACACGGATGCTAGACTAATGGGTGGATACAGGCTTCGCCCGGTGGAGAGGAGAAGCCAGCCCATCTCCTGTCCTTCTCATGGAATAATTCTCTTTCTGGTTGCCCTCTGGCTAGGGTGCACTAAAATATATTAATATATGAGATGTACATGTAAATATGTTTCCCAAAGACGGGATGTGCACAGAGTTGTTTGCTGCAGAGCACTCATGCCTGTCTTCCATTTGCATCAGGATGAAGCTACCTGGATGTTTAGCGAGTTTAATTTCCAGTGCCATGCAGCAGGTTTATAACTGATGTTTTAGTAATTTATTGAACAGAAGCAGATATATTTCATTGTTCCTTCTACAGCAATGAGCATCACATAGGACTGATTGTTCATTTAGGCTTGACAAGACTTCCTCATCCATTGGGGTTGTCTCTGATTTTTTTCCCTTGCCTTCCTTAACAAAGTAAAACCTTTTAGTTGTCCTGAATTGCAAAGTAGGGAGTCAATGTAGAATTTTGCTCTCTTATTCGCTGTTGCATCATCTCTTGTGTAATAAATTTTAGCACTTACAAAACCAACGTGATCACAATGTCTTTAGATGCATGATGTATTTCCCCTTACATTTGTTGCTGCCTTCTGAGAAAAGCAATTTACTGATGAAGTGGACTCCAGGAAAGTCTGGGGGATTTGAGACTTCACAGCTAATGGTCAAAATGGTAAAATGCCCTTTAATTGAGCAATCAGTTTGCTGTCAGTCATCAGGGGAAGCCACATATTGTTTAGTGTTGGGAAAAGCCTGCATGTTTCAGGATAAACAACCAAAAAGCCCTTGGATGTTGCCTGTGCTGTAATTCACGGTTCCCAGTTCAGCTCTAGTCCTGCCAGTGCTCAGGATGCCAACAGATGGGCTTTGTCAGATTTAATCGTGGTGGTATAAGGTGTCACCGCCCCCAGCCTTCCATCTGCTTCAGCTGCTGGAGGTTTCTGTCCTTGTCACCGGCAGCAGAAATGAATGTGTGGCTGCACCTCGGCTACCGTAATTCGCAGGACGTGCTTCAGCCACCAGGCAGGAGGGACTTGCTCTATTTAGCGCAACGGATTGTCAGCTGAAGTCACTCTGGGATGGCCACGCAGCTCCGCTCGGGAGGCAGCAGCCCCGGGCAGAAGCGGGGTGCACCACCGAGCATCTCCAGCTGCCTGGTGGCATTTGTGCTGCCTGTTGGAGGTGATGTACGTGGGCTTGGGAGCTTGCCCTCGGGCGACACAAGGCGACCTGGCGATGGGGATCCTGTTGGTGATGGGCTTTTTTGATCCTTTTAAAAAATTAAAGTTCAGATATGTGTTTCCTTCATGCTCCGTAAAGAAAGCAAATGCCTGAATATCCAAAAGGAAGGGGACGGTGGAAATGAACACTTTGCTCCAGGACCCTCAGGTGGGGCAGAAACCTTGTTGAGGTGGTTTGCCCATTCTCACCGGTGTACATAGAGTGCTTTAAAATGACTGAAAAGAAGCAGCATGAGTAAAATCAGGATTAAAAGCGAGAATTTAATCTGCTGTGTCCATGTAACTGAAGTTCTGTTCTGATATAGGTTTGTGACATGCAGAGACGATTGCCGAGGCGACGACCCAAGGTCCACACCCTCCTAAACCGTAGAAATCTGTCTTAGAAATCTGGATCTAAATGTTGCATCTTGCGCTTATCTCTAATAATATGTTAATTGCTTTAAAAAGTGATATCGAAGTGGTTCTTATTAAATATATGATTTGAGCCTTGCCTCTTGAGTGATTTTAAAAAGATTCACTGCTGATGAGATACAGAGGCAGTCATTCTTCTCTGTTACTTATTTAATAGAAAAGTGCTGCTGTTTTAATGGAACTTCCATTTTTAAAAAGAAATGGAAATGAAGGAGAAATCAAGAGAGATGGCCGATGCAGATTAACCTCCCGTTTCATCCATCCCTGCCAGCTGCCACTCACCAAGATGATGCAGTTACATTCAAGAAGCTGAAAAGAGACGTTACATCGTAAAAAAGCATCGCTCGCAAATGCGTTCCTGTACCCAGGCCGGGTGTTTCTAAATGTAACCTGAAGCTTGGGGCACTCCTTAGACCCACTGTCTTACATCCGTATTGTCCTAAAAAACAGGTTGGCCAGTGATGTGGTGTCCCTGTAAGGACAGCGAGGTATGGGTAGGTATATGCCCGTGCAAGGGGGAAGTATATCTGTGGGTGCACTGTATAATAAGGGCACTGTGGCAGTTCTGACGGGAGCAGCAGCTCTCCCACCCGGGCTGAGGACACAGCAGGCTGTTACAGCATGAGGCCAGGTAAGTGCAGCCTCCAGCCTTGGGCCTGTTTGTGCAGAGAGCGTGGTAAATAGAGCTCCGTGATGGAGTGTCCCATTTGCAGCCACAGCTCTCTTGAAGGATGACACAAGGTGGAGGAAACCTGTGCTCTTGTTGTGTGCATTTTACACGCTCAAGATTTTCTAAGGGGAAAAGCCCAGGTTAGGGAATGGTACGATCCGATGCGCTTTACGGCAGATTGAAGTCAACAGCAAGCTCCTACTCTTTTGAAGCCTGTAGCAGGACCTTTGTGCTGCCCAGGGCAGAGAGCCAAACTTCCAGAAAGTTCCCTCTAAGCCCTCAAATGAAGTTAAACATTTTGAAGTCAAAAGTTTAACTCATGGACTCCCAATAGAAAAGCCTCTCTGCTTGATCACTGAGCAATTTGGGCACTCATCCACTGCTAATAGATACAGATTTAAGCACTCCACTATGCAGTGTGAAATTAGGCATTTTTAAATCTCCGCAGCTCGCCTTTGCAGATGAGACACTGTCTTGCATTGGGTTGGGGAGTGGGAAAAGCGTATATGACCATTAGGAATCTCAGCTGGATTTCCAAGGACATTGGGATGAAGTATTAAGGGCCCTTCTCTGTCATTGCCTAACCAAAGCTGTAGATGGTCCTTTAAACACCAGAAAAACTTTGTGCCAGATTCAGGGACGTAAACCCTTCCAGCCCTGCCAGCCTCGTGCTGGAAAGGTGAGGGGCTGGGCTCTTCTGCCTTTTTACTGAAAGGCCAAGGTCTTATAGGTGGGCTGATCCTGTGTGATGGGAGGTGGTTCCTGGAATCACTGTTCTTATAAATCAAAAAAATTCCCCAAATTATTAATGGCTTTAAACCTTCCTACAGGCAGCAGCCACACAACACGCTGAAGCCAGTGAGGTTGCTCAGCTCATTCAGGTTTTCAGCTAAGTCGGTGCTGGTGGGACCAGGATCTCAGCTGCATCTTTTGCTTAGAAGCAAAGTGACGGCATCCTTCTAGCAACACATTCAAAACAAAATAACACAGCAGAAATGACAAGCTTGAAATCCCAGCTGAGCGGTCTCCACTTCTCCAGGATATCTTGTTGAGAGCAAGTGGGTTAAGTGTCACATCCCGTGGGGATTACTGTGATAAATACCTGCCGATGTCTCAGCTGGGTGCAGCAGCTGGTGCCATCCGTGGCTCCTCACCCTGGGGACGTCTCGCCTATGGGCTGAGGTAGGAATTATAGCAGAAAAAAAGGGTCAGTTCCTATTTACAGGACTGCTAGTTTGGGTTACTCATGCAAGGCCCAGCTGAGAATTTGGCCCAAGTGCTTTGGGTCGTGCTTG